ATAATAATAATAATAAAGAAAGAGAAGAAGAAGAAGATGATGAGAACTTGGAGATGGAAAATTAATGTAAGGATTAAACAATAATAATAACAAATGTCAAGGTTAGAGGTTCCACTAATGGTATATCAAACAAGTATAGTATAAACTCTTATTATTGAATTGGAAACCACACACAAAGGAGGTTCCAATCAGATTATATATTGTTAACATGATTACATTAGTCATCTTATTCAATTAATGCTAATACTTGTAAATCTCGTCAAGCATTCATGATTATAACTTATGTTAACAACAAATCAAGTTCCTTTCATAGCTCAGGTGTCGGTTATACCATACATTATGGGCTATGAAAGTGCCAAACATTTGTTGTACCAAGTGTTATGTAACATAAATCAAGATTAGTCATTTAACAAGCAAAGTATTAAAGAGTGAACAAGATAGCAAATATAAAACATGTTAGTATCAAACATTAAAGTCCATATTAAGTTTACATTATACTTATTCTTACACCATTAGTGTAACCTTTTCACCTTGACATAATTAACTTAGCTAGACATAATGAAAGAAAGCAAAATAGATAAACAAAATAAGAACATAAAAGTTAACTAAGTAAAGGAAAGGAAATGAAAGGCATAAACTTAATATTAATGAAAACAAAGCATAAAAAATACAAAGAGAGAAAGGAAGAGCATGATCTTGATCTGGAAATCAAGATGCCTAAATGCATGGCAAATGCCTCCTTTTATAGGCCAAAAATGGGAACTATTGATTTGATGACTAATTGATAAGTGGGTGACCAACTTTTGACTTGGTGACAATCCTTATCTTCTCTTGTCTGCCCAAAACGTCATTGATAACGTCAAAATTGGAGCCAGTTGTAAACATGAAAGTTGTAGGCAATTGTCTCAGCTTTCTTGTGTAAAAACTTCAGCTCATTTGGACTTCTAGAACTCCAGATATGGCCAAAATACCGAACAGTGCTCGGGCTGGAAGACAGATTCGGGCTTCTTTGTTGTTGCTACAATTTGGACTTGATAATGGCCTTTTTAGATCTTGGGCTCCATATGAAAGTTGTAGGCCTATGTCTTACCTTTCCATCCATATAAATTGGACCTAAATCTGAGATCTGTAGCTCCAGATATGACCCAATTACCGAACAGTGTTCCGGTTTGGATTGCACCGACATCTCTTCTCTAAGTTTGACCATCTCTTTATCCATGCAATTTAAGTTCTTCAAGTCATCAATCAATCCTTTCATTTATATGATAGGCCTGCATTTAAAATGAACATTTACGACAAATTAAAGGTATCTTATATTATTTGATATATTATTATAAAACATGCTTTGGTTAAGGAGTTATTGATACTTCAAGTGCAAAATGATGATATAAAACCATGATAAAAATGCACTTTTAAGTACTAATCAATGCCCTTACCGAGCTCACCATCTTGACAAGAGTTAACTTGTTACTAGAACTTGCACATGCCCTCTACTCCTTCATAGCAGTCGCATCTTAATGCTTCATAAATCATCCACTTATTGTCCAAGGCACATGTTTTCTAGCTCATTGATCTTTAGCATGGGGGCAATATTCATGAAAGTCAATCTGGCTTTTGTCTCCATACTCATCATAACCACTTTATTGGTTATCCATTTGTCCACTCATTTCTAGCCATCACATTGGCTCTAAAGCGTTCTGAACTGGAGATCTTATCACGACCCTTACACCTTCTTTTGAGGTGTCTCTGTCTACTGTCATGAGACGGTCTGAATTTAGACTCATATCATGGTCCTCACACCATTCATCTGAGGTGTCTCTGCTTGTTGTCATATGGAGATTTGTAATTGGGCTCATTTCATGGCCTACACACCTTCTGTCTAAAGTGTCTTCATTCATCGTCATGCCACAATTTGTACTTGGGCTCTTTTCATGCCCCACAAACCTTCTGTTTGAGGTGTCTTTATCCGTCATAAAATGGTCATATCCTCCTTCATCGCAGTGACTCTCTATCACCATGTAAACTTGGGAGAGATCACTTCCACTGATCATATAGAAAGACTGAGTTGCGGTACACTCCTCACAATCGTCTATCTCGATTTCTATGTTTGAAGCTTTTGCATCTTTCATCATTGCACTTGACAACTCCATTTACACTAACTCCTTTTGGTGTCTTCGCCTTTTATCACAAGCGATCGCCTTTTATTATAGGCGTTTGCACCCCCTCAATTAGGTGCATCTACAACAGCTCATCTTTCCATCCTTGCATGTATTGGAAAGGTCCTCGTATATTGCCCTTATCAAGAGCATAAGAGACTTCCTGTTGTACAACTTTTTCACATAGTCTCTGCTTTGAGCTTCATCTGGGAACACTTCTTCTCCTTGCACCTGTTGTCTCATTGCAGTACCTCGTTGGATCCTTCAGGTACTCTTATATAATCTTCGTGTGCCCCCGTGCAATTTTTGTTCTCCAGATTTCTTTTTATTCCTTGCTTATGTTTGATAGCAACTCATCTTGTCACAACACCTGTCAGCTGACTTGCTGACATGACATGCCTACTGTGCATGCTGACATTACAATTACATCATGTTGATGTCATCATTTGACATGCATACTGTGCATACTGACATCACATTTATATCATGCTAACGTCATCAATATTCTAGTCAGTCATATGGGTCGGGTCTACTATATTTGGGTTGGGTCAACTTATCTGGACGAAGAAGACGCGTGGCGGCGTGTCTGCGCGTTTGGACTACCACCTCATCAGTATGTAGAGGAGCGTAAGGACATGTTTGATGTCTGTTTTCCACATTGTTTTCACCATTAGCTTCGTCTCAGCCTCCTTTACACAATGGTATGGTCAAAACACCATTTTGAGAACTTTTATTTTTGAACAAAAATCAAACATCAATTTAAACCTAATGCTTTGATACCAATTGTAGGTAATTCCTGCCGGTGATGTTTTGATATTTGCCCATAGAAGGCTAAGCACACTGACACAATATTTAACATGGTTCGGCAAACCGCTTAAATCCTCGAGAGAGGTCATATTATTACATAGGGAGAGAATAAGATTTACAACAATAGAAGAGGAGGAATCATCCACTCTTTCAACTCTCAACCTCACTCTTTTCTCTCTTTGCAATGTTGTAATGGTAGCTACTGCTTATTGTCCTTAGCAACACACTCTCTTTTATATTTCTCACCTCTTTGGCTCTACTATTTTTCTCATTTTTCTCTCTCACATATGTCTCTATTTATAGACATTCATGACAACTTATCTTGCTCTTTTGTTAACAATAGTGACTATCAAACTTACCAAACTTTGACATTAGCAGCTGCTACCAACAACCCAACACTGTAGCCTACTTCTTCAACAATGGAAGCCATCTTTTTTTACAATAGCAGCAATATAATTAGGAATATTCCAACAATCATGAATTTCTTTTACCTTCTTTTCACATGCACATTATCTCTTGTATCCTCGTTGCATCTCCATTGCTTTTCCTTTTTTCTGGTGCAAGGCATCTCAATTGCTTAAGCCCAAAACATGAGCCTACTTCCATCTTTCATCCAAGCAAAGTGGTGGCCAAGTGGTAAGAACTTGAGATCAAGAGGTTTGCTCTCTCTGTGGTCTCAGGTTTGAGTCCTTGGTTGCTCATATGATGGCTACTGGAGGCTTACATGGTCGTTAACTTCAGGGCCCGTGGGATTAGTCCTGGTGCGCGCAAATTGGCCCGGACACCCCCGTTAATCTAAAAAAAAAAAATATGAAAACAACCATGCCATCCAGTATTAGATATAATAGTAGAAGTTTGATCAAGAGATTTCTGTTTTTGTATTTTAAAATTTAATCTTTGTAGTTATTAATATGATGATTATTAAAAATTTTAAAGTTCATAAAATTAATTGAGGTGTGTTTTAATAATAATAAAAAACCCTGTTATTTATTATATAAGTAACTTCGGCTCATTTTTCCTTTCACAGACTTCATTTCTTCTTAATTCATTTTTATGTATACCAGGTACTTGGGATTTTTAAAGGTGATCCGCTTGCTTTTATAGTCAAGGAAGTTTTTTATTTTTACTTTGACTAACATTTACAGAAATGTATTGAATCTTTTAAATACACCAATTCAATACAACAAATATGCAGGAAAAAATATTTAAATGCCCTTCACCATAGAATAAAAAATAAAAATATCTGGAGGTCTTTACTGGTTAGTCTTAATAGGAGCATGAAAATTTAAGACTCGGTTTGTGACCCTAACTCGCTGGCCTATGGTGAATTCGGCATGGGCCCTAAAAATTTTAAACTTGACATACCTAATAAAAAAAAGTTTTAAAATTATAAATTAAAATCTTAGGTAAACTTTTTACGTGGAAGGAGTTGTTGAAGAGTTCCAACTGGAACCTTAAAAGTTATGGTTAATTTTTGAGGAGGAGAATAGTCCAAGTTTGCTAGCTTTGAAGGGAAAATATATCCATGACCACTTAACAGGGCACACATATTAGTATAGCAATCCTAAATCAATGATATTGTGTGGTCAAGTAAGAATATATATAAATGAAATGGGAAATGATTCATTCCATGAAAACATTCGAAGCCACGAATCTTAATAATAATAATAATAAAAAACATATAAAGCACACTGGAAATTTAATCTTTTTTTTTATCCGAAATTAAAAGTAGAAGAAAATACCTACTATATTCTCTTCTATTCGCCATCCTTTAGTGTGACATGATACTATTATTGAAAAAAAAAACACGACTTGATTAGATAAAAAAACTTAAGTTAATTAGGATTTATTTCAATACAAATCTGATTTTTAATTTGTTGATGTAAAAAAAAAAATTGATCAAAACTAAAAAAAAAAATGATCAAACCTTGTATGGGACTCATAAAAAAGCTATAAAAAAACTAATTTTTATGATTGAATTTTATACATAATTTAATTTTAACTAATTTCAATTACAACTATAACCACAAACACTAAAACAAATATAATAAATAAAAAGGTTGCATAATACATAGAATATCTAATAGGAGCCCAGCCCATATGATAAAATACCACATAGGCTCACAAAGAAGGTGCCCATCTTGCAATTATTCATGCCTCTTTGTACAGTTTGAGGACTTGGGGAATCCAAATTCGAAAAATATAAAATAAGGGTTTAGTAGTTCAAAATGTTTAGCCCTGCTACATGTCTTGCTGAGTTAGGCCATTTGGGATGCGAAGTGATCACAGTTAAAGAAGTAGCTGGTGGTCTGAGCAGTGGCAGGTGTCTCCATGGGGTTGTTCTGTGAGCAATGTTGTTCATAGAACAGTTAGAATATCGATAGTATGACAGATTAATAAGAAGAAAAAGAGAATGATTGGATTTTGTAAAAGAATATTTAAAAATTATCTTAATTTAAAAACTTCAACTACCGTATAAGGATTAAAACCTAATTTTATATTAAGTCATAACTAAGTTTGAAACCTACACAACACCATAGTAAAAAAGAAAACTCTAATAACCATCTCTATGCAGAAATTTAAACCTGTTGATGAGACCCAACACTTTCGAACTTACTATTGCATCCCCTCAAATGATTTTATATAATAGAATGTACATAGATAAAGAAATGAGAGCTTTCAGTGCTGCATTACCATCTCCCCGGCGTTCTCAGTATGCTGATGTCCATGTGCCACGAGCTGCAGAACTGCATCTGCCGTTCAAGTTCCTCTTTTAAGGCATTCCACTCTCTGTCGCGCTCCAGCATTTTCTGTGCATGTTCCTCTTTCAAGGCACGAATCTCTTTTTGATGATGCTCACCTAAGTCAATCAGCCTCTGCAAAAAGTGCGTTGACGAAATTAATGGATATCATGAGAGACAAAATGTAAGCCTTCTATTGAGGAGTGAGTATTATTAATCTACATCTGCTTTCAAAGAGATAATGTACGCAAATTTTCTAATTAAAGTTTATGTTTGTAAGCATGAGAGTCATAAAGTTTACTCATCAATAATGTATACTCAATAATGTATACTAATATAATTTACTATGAAAAGGTTCCCAGATTTAAACCAAATGGAATCGTAACAGCATTTCACAGTGTGGCACAACAGACATATACTAGTCCCAAGTTTTGTGAAAAGATCAGTTTATAGACTATAGTGTATGAAGAGAAAATCCCACCTTCTCTAGTTTATGTATAGAATCACTTTGACGCTGTAGCTCGATCTTCTGTTTGGTATTTTCTTCTCTAGTTTCCTTCAGATGCTTTTCCAAAATAAATGCTTGTCCTTCAAGGTGGCATTTGCCTTTCTTAAGTTCTTCCGTCTCTGCCTTAAATTTTTCCACCTCTTGCTACAAATTAGATATATAGGAAAAGAAATGAATGAGTTATTTACTAGGGAAAGAAAAGGAAAGAAAATCACCACAAAGGAGTACTAGAGAGGGGTAATATTTGGCTGGCTACTTACCTTCTTTTTCTCACGGTGATCTCTGTCGATATCCCGTTTGGGCTTCTTCCCAGCTCTAGATGATGCTTGTTGAACAGGACCTTGGCGCCGCTTATGACCAGAGCCTGCGTGTTTCAACGTGTATGCATGAGCTGCTTTGGGGGCAGGTATCCATGAATACTATTACAGTTTACTTTTTTTTCCTTCCTTTTCAATTGTATTCCTGTTAATCCCTAACTTTGGTTGTTTGTATGATTTGTTTTCCTATAAAAATGGTCGTCCACTAACCTTGTTTTTAGTATCTGTTTGACTTGGAATTATAATTAAAAAATAGCTAATAAACCAATTAAAATGATATTATAATTCGCTTAGGTCACCAATATAAATCAAAACGGTCATACAACAAATACATCGTACTAGTACTGAAAACATGTTTCACTAGAGAGAAATATAATATTGTGACAGCATATAATATTGTGGACCGCACTCCATTTCATATTTTACTGAAGAAAAAATTGCAATTTAACATTGGATCCTAGAGGAGCAGTAAGGAAATTGAATCGGAATTTTGTTAGTCTAGATACACACTAATCATTTATGGTTTTAATGATAACCAAATATGTAATTAATAATGTCTAAATATATATTTATGTTTATGCTTTACATAGATGATTTAAATATCAAACAAGCATAAAAGATTGAGTTTATAACTCTATATGTTTGTATTGATATGCTGGAAGAATGGTATAGGTAAGTTATGTTTTGACTTGACTAATGATTTTACATGAATAAGTGAATTCTGTGACTGTGGAAATATTGCTTGGTGTTAATAATGTTATCTTGTGAAAGAATTTAAGATATGCATAAAGTTTTTGAAATGAAGCAATCAAATCAAGTTTATTTAAAGAATTGTCAAAGATGATTGAAAAGATCTCTATAAAAAGAGAAACAATGAAAGAGCAAATGAGATGGTATCATTTTTCAAAGAGTCATGCTATCAAATTCTTATCCACTTAATTATTTGTGATATGTGCTTATTAAAAAGAGACATATGATATTTAATAATGTGTTTTCATATGCTAATCTTGATTATGCTTTTGTGAAATATATAATTGAAAAAATTATTCCTAGCATTTTATAGTTTGGTTAAAGTTATATTTATTTACCGAGTTTTGAAAAATTATATTTTACATCTTGGATCAACACAAATTTTTAAATTGAATAAGAAAACAAGCTATCCTTATATGTAATACATTAAAAGTCAAATAAAAGACAAATTAAAATTTAATTTCCACCAAACACGATTTCTCTATCCAAAAACCCTAAAAAAATCTCAAATTGAATTAAGCCTGGGAAGAACCCTTAAGTTTTCAATCATCTCTTTGAATCTCCATAAACCACAAGTTGAATTTATTAATCTCAAATTAATATACTCTCTAAAGTGTATCCACACCCCACAAATCCAATATCAATCAGTTTACCATCATCCACCCATTGTTGCAAAATCAATCAGGCCTCCTCCCCTTTCTTTGGAACCTAGATCTAGGTATTATCTAATTGAATCAAGGGGATTAGGCAATTCAAGGCCTTTGCTCAAGTTTAAAGAGTTATTCAAGGCAACAAATGGGTTTTCATTCGAAATTCTTTTGTGAGAAGATGGATGTGGTTTTGGATTTGGATTTTTTTTAAGGGGTAAAAAGTACTTGAATTTATTATTGAGGGAGGTGAAGGTGTGCTGGTGAATTTTAAAAGAAAATTTTCTTTTACAATGACATTATTAAGATCATGATAGTAATTTAAAAGTGAAACAACAATCTCAATCTCACTGAATATTTTTTTTTTCTTGGTGTTAGTTTTGTTCCATCAAGAGAAGCAAACCTCAGTAGATGGGCTATGAGATGTGCTATGAGATAGGTAAAGGTAAACTTATAGATAATATTTAATATAAGAGCTTTTTAGTTACAAAAAATAAAGGTAAACTCGTAGATAATTAGATAATTTTTATTGATTTTATTGAGTCATGCTAGGTATAAAATGTAAATTGTGAAGTACACAGCAAAGTTTAGGTTACAAAGTATAATTTTTCAAAACTTAATAAGTAAGTGTATTTTCGACCAAACTATAAAATGTTTGAGGTAATTTTTTCTAAATATTGTGATTTGGTTAATCTTTTGTCATTAAGATGTCTTTTAATGATAAAATATACTTGATATATGTTTTGTAGCATTATATTTATATTGTCATTGCATATTAGTATATTAAATGAGAGGAGACATGTGTGTATATATATCTATATATATATATATATATATATTGTCATGAATTGAATTTTTGTTTATATGAATTCATGTGTAAGTTGATATGATTAAGAAGTTGCATTAATTTTCATTAACTTCATCATATGATTTCTTATGTTTTGTTCATTTGATTACACTAAAAGTTCCTTGTCAATTTCCAATTAAGTGGTTAAGTAGTAGTTTTAATGATTTGTACATAATTTATTTTACAATTAAAAGTTAACTTGTCTTAAACTATAAACATGTATTATAATAAAAATTTCACTTGTTTTATCCTATATGCTTAAAGATTATGATATCATACTTGGATCATTATATTTTTGAATGATGTTATAATCATATGTTTATTTGAATGCATATGTGATATGCTTGTATGAAACATGCATTAATGCTTAAGTTAAATGATGATTAAATACAAGGTCAAGGCATCCATCAGAGTTACAGTAGGTAGTTTTACTTAATAAAAATAAAAACACATATTATTTGCATTTGTATGTTGTACAAGTTTTGTGAATATTAGATTCATTCAAGGAAATCATCAAATAAGCAAGGTATGGACATATGAAGTTCAAGAACAAGAAAGTTGATGCAGTAATGATTTTCAACTTCGATGATCAAGATCTTGTAGCAAGAGTTTTTCAAATAATATTTAATTTATTTATAAATTTGTTTTCACTTCGACAAAACCTAAACAAATATGAAAGAACACAAGAAAAGATCAAAACACACAAAACAAGATAAATATTACAGTACCTAAATTGGTTTAACTAATTTAAAGAAATGACTTGTCATGTCTAAAAAGAGTTTGATCATTGTTGTAAAACAATTTAGTTCATTTTTAAAATTTTCAGAATTTTACTAGTAACTTTAAAATGGTCTAACCAATTCCAACAATAGTTTATTTGATTTTTCAAAGGGTAAAAATATTTTGAAAATTATGCCTAATGTCTAATTTGATTTTTTAGATCTATAAATATGCCTTACTTCAGCAAAATGATTAAGAACATCCAAGGTAAGGTTTTAATTTTATTCTCATTCTTAAACAACCTCCAACAACCTTAGATTTACTCTTGTTTAATCGAAAAACAAGGTTAAAATGTTACTAGCAAAATTATTTCATATGCTTTATTTGTATTTCATTAAATTATATTAAGAGAATAATATTATAACTATATTAAGAGAGTAATATTATAAAAAGTGTAAATGACTTTTAAAACACTTGGAAAAACTTTTTAAAGGGTATTTACGTGGTTTGATACTTGTCCATTAATAAATATTGGCGAGGAAGGGCAAGTTAATCATGTATCAATCAAAAAATTAGATGATAGGTTTGATGTATTGCCTGTGTAAAAAAATTGAATTAGATCATGAACTTATGAAAGGATTGGAAAAGGTTTCAAACTCTAACCTATGAAAAAAAATAATGTATAAGGATTGGTCTTACCCATAAAATAGACCACATGAATTTTAGTGAAACTTTTAAATGGTGGTTAAAAAGTAAGAGTATTTGGTTTTCTAAACCTCTATTAAAATACATATTCAAGCTCTTAACTCTATCTCATTATGTATTGTAAATATCTTGAAGTGTTGATTGAATTAGTATATATTTAAGTTTATCTTTATTGTTGTATGAGATGTTTATTTGGATTGATCATTATATTATGTATATATTGTTTTAAGTTAAGAAAAAAAATTTAACTGGAAATCTAATTCACCATCCTTTTAAGTTCAACTCATCTTTCTAAGTTCACCTAGAACTTTTAGGTTTGTCAACAAATGAGAAATTCAATCTGAGTTTCTTTCTTATATATATATATATATATATATATATAAACTTATTGTTAAGGCTCCTGCGTAGCTTCTCCATGAACTTTTTGAATTTTTTATTTAAATTATAATTAAAATATTTATTAATCTTTATTAAGCGTGCATTATTATATTCAATTCTTTTGAATGATTATCCTAGTATTTATTTCCTTCATCATCTTTTTTGTGCTATGTAAAAGGAAACCAAAGATATCATAAAAAAGATATACACATAAAGTTTTTCATTAATTAAAGGTTGGGTACCAAATTCAAAGGTTTCTTCATGGCTAACAAAGGTTACAGTTTTAACTTTAAAAATTGCTTTAACATTTTTTGTATTACTTATCTTCTCCACCGCTCAGTCATTCTCTTGTCGGCTCCGATACTCTTTTGTTCAATAAAAATCAGTATTTCATAGAAAAGAAAATAACATTAAAAATGTTACAGTCTTTTGTTTCTTTTTTTACACAGAAGAAAATCTCAAAAAAAAAACCCTTAAAAAGAGTACAAAATAGAATCGCATGAAATCCAGGCCTAAAGAACTTAGCTTGAGCTGAAACAGTGAGAGAAATCAAAGATTATTCAACAGATCGGATGCTTAAAACATTTCCTTATTATATATTCATCCATCCAACTAGATCTAACCATGCTTCCATGTATTTAGCCAAAAAAAGAAGCACGAGAACATATATCATTCAACTCCAAGAGATTTTAAATAGGTGAAGTCTCAAAAATATCATGAAAGATTCAATGGTTTTATTTTATTTTATAATATAGTCTCGAAAATATGAAAAATTAAATGGTTTATAAAATGAAAACTGCTAACAATAACCACAATTATTTGACTTACCGGTGATACTTGGATCTTGAAGATCCTGAACCGAACTGGAATCCTCCTTCCCCAAATTCCCTGCCATCTTCAAACTTTGAAGGTATATAATTTCAGTGTTTTCTTCTTTTTCTGGAGAGGGAGGGAGAGACTACGCTTGATATATAATCCCATTTGGGCAAGGCCATTAAACGATTCATCCAAGGATCAATCGACTTCTAAAGTAATTGAACTAAAAACGTTCGATATCGGATGATATACAAATTTGCATGGACCCACTTTTAAGTAAATTAATGGTGTCCACACATATACAGTGCTTCATGGAGTAGCGAGACCAATAGATGAGGGTAAATTATTGCTGTACTCCCCAACCCCCACAACATAGTTTAATAATTCCTAATATTATCCCTATACTTCTTATAACTTTCTAATTTTCCCCTTAATAAATAACAAAAGGCTTGCTCTTGACTTTCTTTTTATTTTTCGTACTTTTCTCTGATCCCCCCCGATTCCTCATATATTTGAAAATTATTCCTCACATTATTCCACATATACTTTGCTCTTGACTTGCTCAAGTTTGTCATTTCATGGCTAGAAGTTTCACGGAAACTTTTCGAAAAGTTGAAGGGTAATATTTGAAAATTAAGAATTTCAGGATAAAAGCTGAATAATGTTGATGAATTTGTAAGGACAAAATTGAATTTTACCACTCGAACAGGAAAACATTTAGAAAAGTGTGCTAAATATAACATGAATTATGCTTTGAACATGATAAATTATTTAAGAGTAAATTTAAGTGTTCTCAATCCATTAATTATAACATGCTTATGAACTAACATAGATATATAGTTAAAATTAAAATAACTTGCAATTCAGAAGGGAAAAAAACTTACATTATCAAAACCTCAAAAATTAAAAACAATATATATTAAATAACTCAGGGCCATTTTACTACCAATCTTAAAACAAATCATAAGTAAAAATGCAATATTTTTAATTGAAAATATAAACATGTCTACAATAGGACTTAAAAAGTCTCAGCCACCTCTTCCCTGGCCGCATTCGCATCAAATTAATTTTACAGCTGACTGGCCAAGATTTTGGCTCAGAGGCCTAAATGTAGAACGGATCCTCAACCCAAAGCTCAGCCGGCAAACATCTCTTAGATGGATGACCCATCTCTCTCATCTTTCTTTTTTATTTAATAATTTTTTATTTTTTGTTATTTTGAATAACAATAAGTTATAAATTTTATATTTTTTAATTGTTACATGTATAAATTATGATATTTTATATAAAAAATTAATGGTGCTGATCCACCAGTTTTTTTTTTTAAATGCTAATAAACAAAAATATCCTTTTGCGATGGGGTGCATAAACTTTTTCTAACTCTTAATTTTCTTTAAAAAAAAAAATTACTCAGGCCTCGTTTTGTTTTGCTTTTTTCTCTCTGCTACATTGAATTGCCTTTTTCACTGTTTGGGTTCTGGTTCTTTGTCTACAGCTTTGGTCTTACATTTTGCGTTGATTCACCTTCTTTTCTGCCTTTGTTAGCCACAACTTTTCCCTTTTGTTAGCCACAACTTTGGTTTACTGTGGTTCTTGACCAGTGATGTTTCTTCTTTTATGCTGCTCTCAGCCTTTTTCCACTGTAGTTGCAGGGGGCTTCCGCCATGTTTTTGTTACTGGTTTTTTTTAGCTTGCCATTAGATTATGAGCTCTCTGTTTGAATGTGCTTGCCGCTTTGATCACAGTGAGCATCTGGGATTAGGAATTAATGATGATAATGGTTTAGAGGGGCGAATTGATGAACATGTTGGTTGGGGTCTTTTTGTTGGGGAATAAACTGTTAGGTTGGCTGTCACATCATGTGCAATAAATATAAGACATCAATTATTGATTATTAACAGTCACCATTGTTGAATGAGCTAGAGTTGGTGGCCACCAATATTGACAACAAACCAAGAAAAGCCTCCATGAATGCCTATAAATAAAAACATATGTGAGAGAGCAAAATGTGAGAAGGAAAAAAGTCAAAAATATGAGAAATGTAGGAGAGAATGGGCTGCCATTACAGCACTAAAAAGAGAAAAATAGAGTGAAATTGAGAGTTGTCAAAGAGGGATGATTCCTCCTCCTCTATTGTTGTAAATCTTGTACTCTCCCTACAGAATGCAATGGCTTCTCCCGTGTATTTAGGCGGTTTGCCGAACCATGTAAAATACTGTGTCTCAGTGTGCTTCTTCTCCTATGAGCAAATATCAGTATATTACCAGTCAGATTTCCTAACAATTGGTATTAGAGCACATGGTTCAAAGTGGTATTTGATTTTGCTCAAAAATAAAAGTTGTCAAAATTGTGTTTTGACCATACCACTATGTAGAGGAGGAAGAGATGAAGCCGCTGGTAAAAACCGCATCGAAAACTACCACACGCGCCGGCGGGGTGACTAAACACGCGCGCAGATGCGCGCCACATGTCACACACGTCTTCTTTGTCTGGATGGGCTAACCTGACTTGAATACCAGAAGATTCGACCCATATGCGAGATCTGGATGATGATGATGTCATCATGACATCACAGTTTCATCAACATGAACAAGTGGCATGACATGTCAGCACCAGTCAGCAGCCATGTCATCACTGTGGGACCTACTACCACATCACCCGATGTAAGCTGAAAGTGAGCCAAGCCGCGAGCTAAGAGACATGATTCTGTGTGGCGGAGTCTACGTGCAATTGGTTCTAAGGTTGAATCTAGGCCGTTTATTAGGCCAGAATTGTTTTGATCAAATCTTAGCCGTCTGAAGTGCGATTTGGACGATTTCAAACTTGTTTCCAGCTAATTTGATCATTCCGGATGCAATGGTATGGTCCAATCATTGAGATTGAGGCTAATTTATCATTGAGATTGAGACTAAAAATTAGCGAGGGTGAATTATTGAAGAGAGATTACCCGATTAGGAGGCATCTGATGGTCATCATGATGGTCGATGGAGATGAAGAAGAAGAAATCACACATGTTTGCCCAATTATATGTGTTGACCTGTTATGTGGGAAAGTTTAATTGCCTTGATGGAAGGCAAAATTGGGATACTCTAAACACCCGATCATGTGGACAATTTGAGGTGGAGAGTGAAATTTGATGAAGACCAATCTTGACGAATCTAAGCACTAGTAGTCTCACCAGATGTTAATAAATCAGGTATAAAACCAGGATACCCCAGATCACTTGTAAAGGAAAGCCACGACAAAGTTAGCAAATGGTTGTATATACGAAAAGACAGTACAATGGATAGATATGGTCTAAAAAGTTCTGGCTAGGAGATTAGATTTTAAGCAGGACCATTGTGGCCCCTCCAATCCTTCCTAGGAACTTGCTTAGTGGAAGGATTATCCATACGGTACTATTTTCGTATATGTGACAGTTTGTTATGAAACTGTTGAAGACTAGCAGGATGACGACACAAAGGAACGGTTGGGTGGATCTAATGAAGTGGTGATTTCTCAAAGGAAGTTAGATTCGGTGACTGTAATTTCTCGAGGGGAGAATTAATGAAGACCCTGATAATGGTAGAGAAATACATCAAGGAAATGAAGATTGGCACCCTATTTTGACTTGGATAGATGTTGTGACAGGATGAGCTGCTGTAGACATCCCCGATGAAGGAGGATGTGACTGTTTTATGATGAATAGAGACACCTCAGACAGAAGGTGTGTGGGCCATGAAAGGAACCTAAATATAAACCGCTGCATGACGATGAGTAGAGACACCTCAAGAGAAGGTGTGAGGACCATGATATAAGCCATATTTCAGACCGTCTCATGAAGACAGGCAGAGACACCTCAGGAGAAGGTGTGAGGACCATGATATAAGCCATATTTCAGACCGTCTCATGAAGACAGGCAGAGACACCTCAGGAGAAGGTGTGAGGACCGTGATATGAGTCCAAGTTCAAATTGTCTCATAATGACAGAAGGAGACACCTTAAAAGAAGGTGTGAGGGCCATGATAAGAGCCCAATTTTAGAACACCCTAAAGCCAATATGATGGTTGGATATAAGTAGATAAATGTATAGCCAATGAAGAAGTTATGATGAGTATAAAGACAAATACCGGATTAACTTTCATGGATATTGCCCCATGCTAAAGATCAATGAGCTAGAAGACATTTGCCTTAAACAATAAGTGGATGACTAGTTGAGCATTAAGACGCGGCTGCTACAAAGGAGCAGAGGGCATGTGCAGGTTTCGGGAACAAGTTGACTCTTGTCAAGATGGTGAGCTCGGTGAAGGCATTGTAATACTCAGAGTATCAAGACATATATAGATCAACCTTTTATGGGTTGCCCCCATGGTTAAAGGTGGAAAGCTACTTGGACTCTTGAGACTAAGAACGAGAGACTCATGGAGAAGTAAGGCGTGGTTCCTAGGGTTCCTAGGGTGGAACAGAGGGCAGGCGCAACTCCTGGATGAGTAGACTCTTGGAAGAGTGGTGAGCTTGTGATCATATTGAGATACTCAGATAATGACTGTTGTACTTGAAATATCCGTTTGAGAGGGGTGTTATAAGTCTTGATGTGAGGCTTGATGAATCATTCCAGACCGAGCATGGTTGATACGCTCGAAGGTGAATGTTGTTCCAAAGACAAACGTTAAACTATTTAGATGTGATGTGGCAGACCATCTGGTTATAGTGATCCTTTTGTGTGAGAAAATGTGTGCTTTTGTTACTCTGATGATTGAAAGGTTTGACAAGTACCTATAAACTTAGCCACAAACGCTCTCAAAATGGAAAGTTTGGAAGAGCTGCAACATGCAAGCTTGTGTTGAAGAAATAAGAGGATAGTTGCACCACATGAATGGCAAAGGGGGTGATTGTTAGGTTGGTTGCCACTTCATGTGCAATAAATGGAAGACACCAACCATTGACTATTGGCTTGTTTCAGTGCATCTGTGCTCCTATATACTGTTCGGTTGGTTGCCATTTCATGTAAGGCACCAACCATTGACCATTGACTATTGGTAGCCACCATTGTTGAATGAGATAGAGTTGGTGGCCACCATTGTTGAATGAGCTAGAGTTGGTGGCTACCAATGTTGACAACAAACCAAGAAGAGCCTCCATGAATGTCTATAAATAGAGACATATGTGAGAGAATAAAATGTGCAAAGGAAAAGATCCAAAGATGTGAGAAATGTAGGAGAGAGTGGGCTGCCATTGCAGCACTAAAAAGAGAGAAATAGAGTGAGGTTGAGAGTCGTCAAAGAGAGGATGATTCCTCCTTCTCTATTGTTGTAAATCTTGTACTCTCCCTACATAATACAATGGCTTCTCCCGTGAATGTAGGCGGTTTGCCGAACCATGTAAAATACTGTCTCAATGTGCTTCTTCTCAGTGTGCTTTTTCTCTTATGAACAAATATCAGTACATCACCGGTCAGAATTCCCAACATAAACAGGTTTAAAAGACAAGCGGGTAAAGCTGTCATTTGCTTTTTTATTAAAAAAAACAGTCAGTTTTCAGAAGATTATTCACCTCTTGATTTGGATGTTCTGACATGATCAACTGATCTCTTTAGAACTCTAAACATCTATAAACTAATTCTAATTCAACTATGAATACGTCTCTTTTTTGTAAAAAAAATATCAAGTATAAATGACAAAAAAAATCCATATAAATGATAAACTTTTGCAGCATAGTAGTTTGACTATATGTTTGTTTCTTTATCCTAGTAAACGAAGACTTCTTTAGTAATATTGGTATACAAGATTGTATATGTGTATGTTATTGAAGTACAACTTTGCTAGATGTTGGGCCAATAGTTTGAGATGAGACGGGCAGGCACAGGAGTTTCGAGAGATGAGCTATGATTATTGCGAAGTTACTTCAAAATACTTGGGAGCTATTGTATATACGACAGACACCTTCTACGTTTCTATGTATTTCAAAATGGATCACGTTTAATGAACTCCCGCACACAATTTAATTTTGAATATGAAATAGGTAAGAAGTTCATGATTGGATATGGGAAGCTCGAGGAAGCAAAGTGGATGAGCTGCTTGGGCGAAGGTTCAATGACAATACAGCCATCGTCCCTCTTAAATTTCTAAGAAGAAGCCTTTTCCCAGCAGTACCGCGTCAAGCATCTCCTATAATTGTGTGCTAGTCTTTGTATGTACCCTACATCCTCCGATGTCTAAGTCTTTAGCCCTTCGTCTGTTCCGAAGTAAACTACCCACCATGACTAAACAATAGAAAACACCAATCAAGAACTTGAATACAAGCGGAGTGAGAGAAACACTGTTATTTTACTCACAAAAAATGGTCCATCCGTGGTCTGACCACTGGTGCTATCTAAAGGTAATATTTTTTTTGTCATAAAATTCATTTCATCTTTTTTTTAAAATTTTATCATTAAATATTATTTATTGATTGGTGAAGTTGTTTTTAAATTGGCCAAATTAATTGCATCACTTTAAGATAACTCTCAGAATAATACCAAGCAATTCTATGTAGCATTGACTTTATTCTACCAATAAACTACTTAATGTCTATTTCATCTTTTTACCTGTGGCCATTTAAGATTTAAATTTCTATGTTATCCACTAAAAATACTTAAGAATGTATGACTACACGGGGTTCCATAGAAAACACATCTGGCTTTTTAGCTGTATTTACTTTTTTTTTTAATGATTAGCATATAAAATACCAAGATTTTTTACACTTTGGTTTGAAAACGTTTTTGCATTCTGGTCCTCAAAGTTTTTGAGGATTTTTTTATTAGCATTTTTTAAAAAAATCTGGTGGAACAACACAGTTAAATTTTTTTAAATAATGAAATCTAAAAAGTTGTTAAATCAAAAGAAAAAATTGAGAGAAAAGAGAAAAAAAATTTTGAAGACACATTCAAGCGTTGTTATAACATTGTCAATATAATTAAAAAAATCTTAATAAAATGAATGTAACGATATCAAAAATAATTATTAATAGTCACCCAAGTATATCATGCTTGTGGGGGGTGGGTTGGGCTTTTTGTTATTTATTAAGGGGAAATATAGAAAGAATGGAGTATAGGATAAACCATTTAATCTTTCATAATTTCGAGACTATATTATAAGATAAAAAAATAAAAATAACCATTTAATATTTCATGATTTTGAGACTTCACCTATTTAAAATCTCTTGGAGTTGAATGATATATGTTCTCGTGTTTTTTTTGGCTAAATACATAGATGCATGGTTAGATCTAGTTAGATGGATGAATATATGATAAGGAAATGTTTTAAGCATCCGATCTGTTGAATAATCTTTGATTTCTCTCACTGAAGTCCGGATGAAAAAGAAACAATGGGTGGATGATTGATATTGGATTTGTAGGGAGCGTAGATATATACACTTAGAGAGGATATTAATTTGAGATTAATAAATTCAACTTGGGATTAGTAGAGATTCAAAGAGATGATTCAAAACTTGAGGTTTCTTCCCGAGCTTCAATTTGAGATTTTTTTAGGGCTTTTAAAGAGAGAAATTGTACTTGGAGGAGAGGAAATTTTAATTTGTTTTTTGTTTGAATTTTTGATGTATTATATATAAGAATAGCTTGGTGTTTTATCTAATTTAAAAATTTATGTTGATCAAGAAAACATAATTTAATTTTTTAAAATTCGATAGGCCAATATAGCTTCAACTAGATTATAGAATGCTAGAAGTAGTTTTTTCAATTATTTATTTTATAAAAGTATGATCAGATTAGTATATGAAAACACATAATTAAATATTATAGACCTCTTTTTAATAATTATTTATCACAAATAATTAAGAGGCTAAGAATTTGATATCATGACTCTTTGAAAAATGATAACACTTCACTTGCTCTGTCATTGTTTCTTTGAAAAATCAAAACCATAAATGATTAGTGTGCATCCAATGTTAAATTGCAATTTTTTCTTCTGTAAAATATGAATGGTCCACAATATTATGTGCTGTCACAATATTATATTTCTCTCTAGTAAAACATGTTTTCAGTACTAGTATGAATGTATGATGTATTTGATGTGTGACCGTTTTGATTTATATTGGTGACCTAAGCTAATTATAATATCATTTTAATTGGTTTATTAGCTATTTTTTCAATTATAATGCCAAGTCAAACAGATACTAAAAACAAGGTTAAGGGACCATTTTTATAGGAAGAACAATTTATACAGATAACCTTAGTTAGAGAGTAAATCAGGAAAACAATTGAAAAGAAAAAAGTTAACTGTAATAGTATTCATGCATGTCTGCCCCAAAGCAGCTCATGCATACACGTTCAAACACGCAGGCTCCGGTCATAAGGGGAAGAAAAGCACACCGGAGATCAACAAAGATCACCGTGAGAGAAAGAAGGTGAGTAGCCAGCCAAATATTACCCCTCTCTAGTACTCCTTTGTGGTGATTTTCTTTCCTTTTCTTTCCCTCATACATAACTCATATTCATTTCTTTTCCTATCTAATTTGCAGGAAGAGGTGGAAAAACTGAAGGCAGAGACGGAAGAACTTAAGAAAAGCAAATTCCACCTTGATGGACAAGCATTTCAGCTGAGAATGGATCTGAAGGAAACTAGAGAAGAAAATATCAACCTGAAGATCGTGGAAAAGAGTCAAAGTGATTCTATACTTGAAATGGGGAAGGTGGGATGTTCTCTTCATACACTATAGTCTACAAGCTGATCTTTTCACAAAACTTGGGACGGGTATATATGTCTCTTGTGCCACACCGTGAAATGCTGTTACGATTCCATTTGGTTTAAATCTGGGAACTTTTTCATAGTAAATTATATTAGTATACATTATTGAGTATACATTATTGATGAGTAAACTTTATGACTCTCATGCTTAAAAATATAAACATTAATTAGAAAATTTGCGTACATGATCTCTTTGAAAGCAGATGTAGATGAATAATACTCACTCCTGAATAGAAGGCTTACATCTTGTCTCGTATGATATCCATTAATTTCGTCTACATACTTTTTGCAGAAGCTGATTGCCTTAGGTGAGCATCATCAATAAGAGATAGGTGAGCATCATCAATAAGAGATAGGTGAGCATCATCAATAAGAGATAGGTGAGCATCATCAATAAGAGATAGGTGAGCATCAGCTGATTGCCTTAGGTGAGCATCATCAATAAGAGATAGGTGAGCATCATCAATAAGAGATTCAAGCCTCGAAAGAGGAACATGCACAGGAAATGCTGGAGCGCGACAGAGAGTTGACTGCCTTGAAAGAGGAACATGAACGGCAGATGCGGGTGTGCACCTCGCGGCACATAGACGTGGCAGATTGGCATGAGAACGCCGGAGAGATGGTAATGCAGCACTAAAAGCTCTCATTTTTTTTATTTAGTACATTCTATTATATAAAAACATTTGAGGGGATGCAGTAGTAAGTTCAAAAGAGTCGGTTCTCATCAACAGGTTTAAATTTCTGCATAGAGATGGTTATTAGAGTTTTCTTTTTTACTATGGTGTTGTGGAGGCTTCAAACATAGTTATGACTTAATATAAAATTCGGTTTTAATCCTTATACAGTGGTTGAAGTTTTAAATTAAGATAGTTTTTAAATATTTTTTTTTAAATCCAATCATTCTCTTTTTCTTCTTATTAATCTGTCATACTATCAATATTCTAACTGTTCTATGACCAATATTGTTCACAGAACAACCCCATGGAGACACCTGCCACTGCTCAGGCCACCACCTACTTCTTCAACTCTGACCACTTCGCATCCCAAACGGCGTAACTCGGCAAGACATGTAGCAGGGGTAAACATTTTGAACCACTAAACCCTTATTTTATATTTTCGAATTTGGATTCCCTAAGGCCTCAAACTGTACTGAGAGGCATGAATAATTGCAAGATGGACACCTTCTTTGTGAGACAATGTGGTATTTTATCATATGGGCTGGGCTCGGTCTATTGTATATTCTCTTTATTATGTAACCTTTTAGCTTGCCTGAGGCGTTTCTTCTTTTGTTCTTTTTTTTTTCCCAATACCAGTCAGCTCGACCCGAGTTTATCTTGGGTAAGATCCAGGTTACAAATCAATAAAATTAATCCGGGTCATCCTTCAATTTTCTTTTAAAAAAGAATGAAAATAAAATTATTTAATCAATTTTTTCAAAAACATCAACAAATTAAAAACTGGTTTTTTATTGGATTAGATCCTGGTAAACTCAAGTTTTTGATTTTATTAATTGAGAATTTTGTTTTCAACTCATACTATTTCAGGCTCCAAGTTAATTGAATTTTAAATTAAAACTCATACTATTTCAGGCTCCAAGTTAATCGAATTTTAAATTAACTTCTTAGATTAATTTAGATTTTATAACTATAATAAGTTAATCAGATTTCAAATCAATCCTTTAGGTTAATCTAGATTTTACAACTATGATATATATCATATGGTTTTAAAGAGGAGTTTTAATATTGCTTTTATATTAGTTTGGTATATGTAAAGAAATAAGCTTTCCAACAACTTAGGAGAGATCATCGCGTTTTTATTGCATCTGTTCTTGTATGACTATTCTTTCTCATGCTTCCGACAGTGTTAGTCTTTATATTCTAACAAAATGTTTAATTGAATCTCGTTTTCACAAAGTTAATTAAGTCCTTGGATGTCAATGATGTGCTTAATTATCCCTTCATTTGTCCTTAACATTACATGAGAGCTTATTAAAAAAATGTTTAGGAACATGATAGCTGTTATTTTTTTAAAATTATATCTTTAAATGTTAATTTTAAAGTTTTTAAAATTATAATAATAATATGGGATAGTTTGAACACTCTCACAATTCATAAAAGGAAATATAAATACCACTCTTATAACAACAAGCTTGCTTAACATCAAAACATCATAGTTTTATAATCTGGGTCATGAGTTTTGTTAGTTAGTTAGATTGTCTTTGTAAACCCCGGAAAAAAAAATAAAGGTTGCGTAAATTGTAAACTAATGACATGAGAAATAATAGTGAAAAAATTCATGCATATGGTTAAATAAAAACAGGAATTTATAAAAATTTTAATATAAGTTTCTGGATGAAATATTTCGAGACATTAAAAATCAACCTGAAAATGTTAAGGGTTAAATTAAATTAAAGAAAATAAATTAAGCTAAAAGTTGTGGGGTGAAATCATAAGAAGTGAAAAGAGGTATAACTTAATTATAAGAGAAAAAAAAGATGTGGGGGCCTAAATACAAATACAAAAAAATTATAGAGCATAAATACTTTTATTCTCACTCAAAAATCTATAGAAATCATAAGAAAAGAAAAGAGGGAAATTTTATATTCATTCTTGCAAAATCAAGAGAGAAACACCAAAATTTCAAGAACCTATCCCAGATTAAGGGTTTATAGATGGAATAAACACTTGTGGGCAAGAGATTAACAAGGAAATTGAACTAGAAGAGAAGATGAAGGGCTGGTTGTCATTAGATAAGAAAGGAGGGAGTTGAAAAATCTTCAACTAGTTGAAGATCAAAACCTTAATTCGTTCTGGGTAAGGTGTTCTAAACATGATCTTATAAGTCATTTCATATTCGATAATGAATTAATGTCTTGATGTGAATTATAGATTAGGGTTCTTAAACTTGAATTAGGGAAAAGTATTTATTGTTAAAATTAAATTAATTCATGTGTGGTATGTGATTAAGGACGTGAAACCATGATAATTTACCCAGAAAATATAGTTGTGAAAGTTATGTGTGAAAGGAAAGGGAGGTGATGAATATAGATATACTCGTCTCCTGACTTTTAGTAGATTTCGGATAGGAGGATGAGGGAATGAGAACCAGGTTCTTCATAGAAATTGTAGTCTTAGATGTTAGATAACTAAGGAAATTGGTCTTGCTTAATTTGGAGCTGTAGAACTCCGGTTATGGGTTACCAATCGAGACTGGGTCATGATAGACCCTGTAGAGTAGTAAGTTTGATTATTATTTTTATGAGCAGTTTTAACTATCTTAGAGGCAGAACTAGATTCTTCTTTCTTTAGAGAACTTGTAGTCTCATGTCTTAACTTTCCAATGAGACCAATCTCACTTGAAATAGAGTTTTATAGCTCTAAATATTAGTAAAAATCTAAGGCAAAATTAGACAGTAATAGTTGAAAATTAGACAGTAACAATTGGAAATGAGATAGTAACAGTTCAAAGTTAGACAATAATGGTTGAACAGTAACAGTTTAATGTGTAGACAGTAACAATTCAAATGTTTAAACAGTAACAGTTCAAAGTTAGACAGTAACAGTTAGAACTAAGATAGTAACAATTCAAAGTTAGACAGTAACAGTTGGAAATGAGACAACAACAGTTCAAAGTTAGACAGTAACAATAGACTTTCACATGAATACTATATATAAGAATATAAAAGAATTGACTCATACGAACACTTGCACATTGAGATACTAATATTGAAAATATACATGATATATGTATGTATGTATGTTATTATGAGGAAAATGAACATGCATAGAAAGTAACATATGAGTAATGGATGAATATGGATTCTATGTAATATCGACTTGAAGGAATGATAACTATGGTTGGATAAAGGATAACAACATTAATGGGTGTAATAAGAAAAACATAAGATATAAAGAAAGAAATGATTGAAAGAAAGATCTATTAGCTATTTATATGATTATTTTATAACATATCCTTGAATGAGAAAAATTTATGAGATGAGTTTGTGACTAAAGGAGGGAACATGAGTAGAGCTTCTATTGCAGGTAGGTGACTTCATCTTCCTTTTTAATAATGTTGAATAATGAAAAATACTTTATCATGAATGTTACTGTATTATGTTAATTTAGATACTAGATTGTTAAATGCTTAAATGTTAATAATTGATTAGCTTTGACTAATGGCATCCAAAGGGATGACTAGGACAAATAATTAACTAGCTTCAGCTAATTGCATCCGAAGGGATGATTGGGACAAATGAATAATTAGCTTTGGCCAATGGTATCTAAAGGGATGCCCGAGATAAATGAATGATTTGCTTTAGCTAAGTGCATCTGAAGGGATAACCAAGATAAACGATTGATTAGCTTTGGCTAACAGCTTCTAAATGGATGACCGGGACAAATGAATGATTAGCTTTGGGGATGAATGAGATAAAAGAATGATTTGCTTTAACTAATTACATCTGAAAGGATAACCAAGACAAACAATTAATTAACTTTGGCTATTGGCTTCAGAATAGATGACCCGGATAAATGAATGATTAGCTTTGGTTGATGGCATTCGTAGGAGTTGGCTGGGGTGAGTGAATAGTTAAACTCGACAAATGATACCTTAAGAGGATGGCCAGATTTAAGATTATGGCTGATTGTAAGAATTGGTGCATCTATATGTACTACAAGTTGAGTATACTAAGAACATGAAGGAATTACAAATGTTACACTTCAAACATGACATAATGTTAATGCTTCATTAAACTGCCAAACCGTTTTATTATTATTATTAAGTAATTGCATTCTTGTAAATATTTTGTATTGTAGTAGGGGCGTCACACCAATAAGGTGTCTAAGAAGCCCAATACTCGAGAACCTACTTTTACAAGGAATCATATAGTTACATTTTAAATGATGATGTGTTTTGTATGAATTAATGTACTGAATGTATAACTATTATTAGATCCTTTTAGCTTAAATTCGTGATGACTATTTATAGGATAGAATACAAACTCATTCGTGATGACTATTTATAGGATAGAATATAAACTCATGTCTATGTATGTATATTTTAAATGTGAATTTCTAATCATACAAATATAATATTATGAGTTTATGTAAGATTCACTTTTAAATGAAATGTTGATAGTTGTTGATGTATGAATTGTATATTGATGATGTGAGAAAATATGTTCGCTGTTTACTGACACGATGCATGTTAATTATGAAAAAAAAATTCATTTGTTTTGGGCTTGAAAAGATGGGTTGTTACATACTTGAGTTTTTTTAATTGATTTTTTTAATTTAATTCATAAACATTGAGTTTATTGAAAATTAAATTTTATAATTGTTTTTAATTTTGTTTCTGTAGAGCTATTTTGATCTCTTTACCCGAGTTTGACAAGTTAACCTAGATTGACTTGAGTTATTTTTTTAATATTTTTTAAATCAATTTAATCCTTCAATATTATATTGATTGAGAATTGAACTTTATATTTTTTTTATTCACTTTTTATTGGGTTATCATGGTTTGATGACCTGGTTTGTAGGTTAAGCCAATTAACTTAGTTTTTTTTTTAGTTGAAACTTTTTCAATTTCATTATTTAACATGGGGTTGACTAGAATTTATACTTAATGATTTATTTTGATTTAATTTCTATAAGGTTATCTTGGTCTTGTGACCCGGGTCACGAGTTTGATCAGTTAACTTGAGTGATATTTTATTTTTTTAAAAAAAATTCATCCTTTAACATTAAGTTGATTTAGAATTAAGCGTTATAATTTGTTTTCTATGGGATTATCCTAATCTCATGAGCCAAGTTTATCAAGTTTACCAAAGTTGACTCGGTTCTTTTTTTTTTTTTCAATTTCATCATTCAATATTGAGTTGATTGAGAATTTAGTTTAATAATTTTTTTGATTTGCTTTTTATAGGGTTATCAGGGTTTCATGACCTTGATAATGGATTTGATAGGTTAATCCGAGTTGATCTAATATGTTGTTATTTTAATCTTTTTGTAAAAATATCATCTTAATTTTTTTAGTCAAACTATATTTTTTATAAGTTATTTGAGTTATTTTTTAACTTGTCAAGTTGACAATGTCACATCATTATGCTATAAACGATATTAACAACACCAAGATATTATTTTTATGTCTAGAAAAAATTAATCCAATCCATAGTATAGCGCGAAGAATAATCTAGCAATGACCTAAAGACCATTGTCAATATGCTTTGATTTTTATGTTGTATAGTTCACTCATTGTAACCTCTTTTAACAATTTTTAATATATAGATAAATTAACAAAATACTAGAAGAGATGGTGCTTTGATTGCGCATCACTTTTTATCATTTAATATTTGATTCATTAAAAATTAAACATTTTAATTTTTTTGATTTACTTTTTATGATGTTGTCTCAATCTCATGATGTAGGGTGCATGTTTCATGAGTTAACCTAGTTAATTTATTTATTTTGTTAATTTTTTGTTAATTTCTTCAATTTCAATTTGATCCTTCAACATTTATTTTATTGCAAATTAAACTTTATTATTTGTTTTATTTACTTTCTATAAGGTTGTCCTAATCTCGTGATATGAGATATAAGTTTGGTAAATTAATTTGGTTGACTTAGGTTTTTTTTTAGATTATATTTTTTTTTTCAAATTTCATCTTTCAATATTTTATTCATTGAGAATTAGATTTCATGATTTGTTTTGATTTGCTTTCTATAAGGTTATCTTGATCTTATAACTTAAGTCATGGGAGCTAATCCAGGTTGAATCAGGCAATTTTTTTAGTTTTTTTAATTTATTTTTCAATTTCATCCTTCAACATTAGATTGATTAGGAATTATGATTCAAAATAAATTTTTATTTTCTTTTTATATGGTTATACAAGCCTTATAACCCAAGTTGAGAGTTTGGAATGATAAATTGGGTTGACTAAGGCTTTTTTTTGTTTTTAATGAGGTTATCCCTGTATCATAACCTGAGTCATGTGTTTAGCGTGTTAATCTAGGTCACGAGTTTGTGTGTTAATTCGGGTTGAATTGAATCATTTATTTATATAATTTTTTAATTGATTTTTTTCTAATTTCATATTACAACATTGAGTTGATTGGAAGTTGAGTTTCATAATTTGTTTTGATTAGCTTTCAGTGGAGTTATCCCGATCTCATTACCTAGGTTATGAGTTTAGCAAGTTAATTTAGGTTGACTCAATTTTTTTATATCTTTTTTAATTAACTTATTTTTTTAATCCCATCCTTCAACATTAGATTGATGGGGAATTAGACTTCATAATTTATTTTGGTTTACTTTCTATAAGGTTATCATGGTCTCATGACCATGGTTGTGGATTTTACAAGTTAACCTGAATCAATCCAATATGTTGTTGTCCCAACATTTCAAAAAGATGTCGTCTTGAATTTTTTCAGAAAAATTATATTTTTATATAAAATATTGAAATAATATATTTTTTAAAAAATTATTTTTGATATCAACGTATCAAAACAATGTAAAAACATTAAAAAAATTAAAGCAAAAATAAAATACAATAAAATAAAAAAACTTTACCACCACAAAAACAAATGGGGGATTAATTTCCTCAGCCTTCAGCACTTTGCCATTCAAAAATTATAAGAACTTGTTTAAAAATATATACTTTTTTGTTGAATTTTTTCCTTATTTTCCACTATATTGTATTTGATTAGGGCTTGTTAAAACAGTTTCATAATGTGTATGTCAATGAGGGCAGAACTAGCCTGACATGTATGGCTAAGCCTTAAGTCTTGTATGTGCATCAGAATGTTGGTTCCACGGCATGTCCTGCACAATATAGTTGCTTCCAATGTCACTCTTTCATGCCTGTTACTGTCAAGTACACATACAAAACATTATTCTGGCTTTTATGTAATCTCAATACAAATTATTTGATCAGAATGAATGACAAACTTTTAAGACAATGAATGGCTCTGAGTTAATGGGACAAGATAGACAAAAACAGCAGATTTATATTGGAAAGTACGACAAACCCTGCTAGATTGATATAAAGGGAGAACAACATTTTCTAACCCCTTCCCCCAATTATCTTCCTTGCTCTAACGTATTTGTTAAATCGACGTATGAATCTGCTTTGCTAGAAGAAGAAGCAGTGTTGAAGAGGGATCTGCTTGCTGCAAATGCTGGTTTCTTAGGAGTTGGTAGAGATGCAGTGTCACTTTCAAGCATGAAAACTACGTTTGACATGGTGGGACGATCCCATTGATGTTCTTGCACACATAAGAGGCCAACATTCACACACCTCACAAATTCATTTGCGTCACAAGTATCGCATAATGCTCGGTCCATCAAATCCAGTACCTTTTCCTCTTTCCACAACTTCCATGCCTGTGACAAAGTTTAAAAATCAAAATTTTTAAATGGTAGAGAAAGAAAAGGAAGATGTGGCTTTGAAAATTTCCATTGCTTACATAAGCTGAGAGGCTAAAATTTTGATCAGACTTGTAAAATGCCGCATTTCTTTTTCCACTGAGAATTTCAAGTACAATCACACCGAAGCTAAAGACATCAGACTTCGTTGAGAAATCCCCATCCATTGCATACTCCGGTGCCATGTAGCCGCTGCATGACAGGTGAGTTTGTATTATGTTAGCTGAGACAGAAATGTAATCAACATTGGATGTATCCCATGGTTAGGAAAGCAATCTGCGCGCATAATAGAACTTACTAAGTCCCAACAACTCTCTGTGTGTTTCCTTCTGTTTGTTTGCCTCTTAAGATCCTTGCCAAGCCGAAATCAGAAATTTTGGGGTTCATCTCCTCATCTAAGAGGACATTGCTTGTTTTCAAGTCTCTGTGAATGATCTTCAGCCTTGAATCGCGGTGAAGATAAAGCAGTCCTCGAGCGATTCCCATGATAATGTTAAAGCGCAGTTCCCAATTTAATAACACGCACAGCGTCCGATCTTGTATGGTTTCAATTTCCATTGAGAGAATAAAGTTAGCAATCATCTTAAATTATCTGTTTCCCATCAGCATAGAAAAATGTTTAGTAGTTAAGTTTAAGGAGGCTAACCAAATATGAACACATCCAAGCTTTTGTTTGGCATGTATTCATAGGCCAACATTTTCTCACATCCTTCTTCACAGTATCCCAAAAGTCTAACAAGATTACGATGTTGAAGTTTGACGATCAATGTAATTTCATTCTTGAATTCCTCCAAGCCTTGCCCTGAACCATAAGAAAGTCTTTTTATAGCTATCTCTTGGCCTCCCGGTAACTTTCCCTGAACAAAAATCAATACACAGCATGTCAGAATAAACTCCAGTACTGTAGGAAACAGCATGGTCATTTACCTTGTAAACAGGCCCAAAACCCCCTTGTCCTAGCTTGTTTGCACCCGAGAAGTTATCTGTAGCAGCTAGTATGCATTCCATGTCAAAAATCGGTACATCTATGCCTTTCTTATCATCTACGGTGAAATGGTCAGCAGATATCAAATCCCTGGATCGTCTCTCAGTGTCATTCAAGTGAAATGCTACATTTCCCTGGATGCTTTCTCTGTTTTCTGAGTTGAAGGCAATTTCAAGAGTTAATCACTTTCTGAGTTTTCATTGAAAAATATACTTATTTTATTAAAAGAATAAACATTAAATTGTTGGAATATTGAGTACCTCGACCAGTAACCTTCGTTGATCTTCGCATATGATACAGAAAGAAGGAAGCACATAGGATGATTACAGAAGCTGCAACAACTCCAAGTAAAACTAGATATAATGACCTCCTTTTCTTTGTAGATGCTGCATGTTAATCAGAGAAATTATTGCTATAAGCTATTATCATTGAGGCAGCAGGTTAACTATATTCTTTACTCAACTATATAGTTGCACAAATTTATGGAAGGACTAACAAACAAGCCATTATTACTTGTCAGAAGTAGCAAATTTTACTGTCCTAGCAGCATTGTCTGAATTGCTTGCTTACAAAGAAATCTAGATATAGATCACTTAAAATGTTATTGTCAGAATACCTGAAATGCAATTGACCGTTTTGGGATCCCACCAAAAGGATTTATTGCAAAGGCACCTTTTCTTCCCATCTCTTGCAAAACTGCAGGTTGAATGTCGCCAGTCATTGCATTCATCGAGTGAGTAACAGAGTGGTTCAGATGGATCAGTCCACCCGATTTCAACTTCAGCAAATCCTGTATCTTCAAATGATGAACCTATTCTACTATTACTACGGTTAGCGTCGCATCTTCCAATTACATAAAATGGCGAGGACTGGTTGCGCTGCTGCTTATAGTTTCCCATCGACTCGATAGCTTTACAATTTGCATCTTCAACATGTATTGAAAACTTTTGCAACTCTTCATCAATGCCAGTTACACGATAGTAGGCACCACCAGGTACCTCAAACATAAGCTGGCTACTGGAATCATCACAGTGGAACCTGAAGTACATTTGATCGCCACAGTTTGGTCCAGTGCTTAGCGGGTAGGGGATTACGGTAGTGCCGCACATCTCACATTTTCTTTTCACCGATGCTGAAAGAGTGGAATGTCTACATGTCAAAGTTCATGCAATTTAAAATTGTATATCCTTACTTCTGAATCTATGCATTTGAAAACTGAGGAAAACTTTTATAAACTATAACCATTTCTAGCTACTAGCTTAGCAATCTGCTGGATAGTTTTGAGTTTGTGACAGCCAAATCTGATTCCAGTCTGGCAGAACAAGTAAGAACCTGATGAGATTCTAGCTTTGTCCTGAAATAGACCAATAGACAACACCAACACAACTATTTTTGTTAATCTGTGGCAAACTCAATCCGCAAGACTGATTCTGCAAATGCTAACTTACAAAAGATTATGCAGGAATAAGTTGAAATTTTTGAAGTATTAAAACAATTAAACTTACTGTACAAGAACCATTGCAATCAAGCGCCGCATCAGATGATAAACTAGAGTCACAAACATGTGTTTACTTTTCAGAAACTAAAATAGCCAGGTATCAAAATTCTAAGAGATAAATCAGCTATGCAGGTACCAAGTCACCGTATTGATATCTGAATTGCTTGCTTACAAAGAAATCTAGATATAGATCACTTAAAATGTTATTGTCAGAATACCTGAAATGCAATTGACCGTTTTGGGATCCCACCAAAAGGATTTATTGCAAAGGCACCTTTTCATCCCATCTCTTGCGGGACTGCAGGTTGAATGTGGCAAGTCATTGCATTCATCGAGTGAGTTACAGAGTGGTTCAGATGGTTGAATCCACCCGATTTCAACTTCAACAAATCCTGTATCTTCAAATGAAGAACCTAATATAATATTACTACGGTTAGCGTCGCATCTTCCAATTACATAAAATGGCGAGGACTGGTTGCGCTGCTGCTTATAGTTTCCCATCGACTCGATAGCTTTACAATTTGCATCTTCAACATGTATTGAAAACTTTTGGAACTCTTCATCAATGCCAGTTACACGATAGTAGGCACCACCAGGTACCTCAAACATAAGCTGGCTACTGGAATCATCACAGTGGAACCTGAAGTACATTTGATCGCCACAGTTTGGTCCAGTGCTTAGCGGGTAGGGGATTACGGTAGTGCCGCACATCTCACATTTTCTTTTCACCGATGCTGAAAGAGTGGAATGTCTACATGTCAAAGTTCATGCAATTTAAAATTGTATATCCTTACTTCTGAATCTATGCATTTGAAAACTGAGGAAAACTTTTATAAACTATAACCATTTCTAGCTACTAGCTTAGCAATCTGCTAGATAGTTTTGAGTTTGTGACAGCCAAATCTGATTCCAGTCTGGCAGAACAAGTAAGAACCTGATGAGATTCTAGCTTTGTCCTGAAATAGACCAATAGACAACACCAACACAACTATTTTTGTTAATCTGTGGCAAACTCAATCCGCAAGACTGATTCTGCAAATGCTAACTTACAAAAGATTATGCAGGAATAAGTTGAAATTTTTGAAGTATTAAAACAATTAAACTTACTGTACAAGAACCATTGCAATCAAGCGCCGCATCAGATGATAAACTAGAGTCACAAACATGTGTTTACTTTTCAGAAACTAAAATAGCCAGGTATCAAAATTCTAAGAGATAAATCAGCTATGCAGGTACCAAGTCACCGTATTGATATCTGAATTGCTTGCTTACAAAGAAATCTAGATATAGATCACTTAAAATGTTATTGTCAATATACCTGAAATGCAATTGACCGTTTTGGGATCCCACCGAAAGGATTTATTGCAAAGGCACCTTTTCTTCCCATCTCTTGCAAAACTGCAGGTTGAATGTCGCCAGTCATTGCATTCATCGAGTGAGTAACAGAGTGGTTCAGATGGATCAGTCCACCCGATTTCAACTTCAGCAAATCCTGTATCTTCAAATGATGAACCTATTCTACTATTACTACGGTTAGCGTCGCATCTTCCAATTACATGAAATGGCCAGGACTGGATGCTCTGCGTATAGTTTCCCATCAACTCGATAGCTTTACAACTTGCATCTTCAACATGTATTGAAAACTTTTGCAACTCTTCATCAATGCCAGTTACACGATAGTAGGCACCACCAGGTACCTCAAACATAAGCTGGCTACTGGAATCATCACAGTGGAACCTGAAGTACATTTGATCGCCACAGTTTGGTCCAGTGCTTAGCGGGTAGGGGATTACGGTAGTGCCGCACATCTCACATTTTCTTGTCACCGATGCTGAAAGAGTGGAATGTCTACATGTCAAAGTTCATGCAATTTAAAATTGTATATCCTTACTTCTGAATCTATGCATTTGAAAACTGAGGAAAACTTTTATAAACTATAACCATTTCTAGCTACTAGCTTAGCAATCTGCTAGATAGTTTTGAGTTTGTGACAGCCAAATCTGATTCCAGTCTGGCAGAACAAGTAAGAACCTGATGAGATTCTAGCTTTGTCCTGAAATAGACCAATAGACAACACCAACACAACTATTTTTGTTAATCTGTGGCAAACTCAATCCGCAAGACTGATTCTGCAAATGCTAACTTACAAAAGATTATGCAGGAATAAGTTGAAATTTTTGAAGTATTAAAACAATTAAACTTACTGTACAAGAACCATTGCAATCAAGCGCCGTATCAGATGATAAACTAGAGTCGCAAACGTGTGTTTACTTTTCAGTAACTAAAATAGCCAGGTATCAAAATTCTAAGAGATAAATCAGCTATGCAGATACGAAGTCACCGTATTGAAAGGATTAAGTACCTATAGCTGAAAGTGGCACACGGACATTGAAGTCACGACCCCTGTCATACTGCTCCTGAATGTTGTTGAGATCCTTAAACCAAGTCCAGCATGTAAAATTATTATCCCCATTTTCAGCCTTGTGATAAGAATATGCCTGGCAGTTGCATTTGCTAAGGCACTTGTTCATACAGTCATTTTCATCTGAGTAGTCAGGTTCAGCATCAGGCTTTCCTGCTTTCATCGATTTTAACTCCAGGAACTTCGGAGCCACATCGTTGCTGCATAAAGGTGACATTCTTTCACACCCCTCTGCAAAGTTTTCTAATTTCCAATTATCGGGAGACCTGGGCTGAAATCCTGGCAAACACTTGCAAGGAATCCTATTTTGACTATTGCAGATGCCAAAAGTCCCACAAGCATCAAATACACTGCATCGATCACTTGGTTCCCGCCAGATCAAAGTCCAATTCGCATTTCTCCAGAGGAAAACCTGTATCTGCCCATCGAAATTCACCACCAGTCTTGTATTCTTATAATTCACAGCTGTTGAATTTATTCTATCATAAGGACTTTCCTTTGTAGTTGTTGTGTTCCCAAGAGGACTGCTTGGTTTCCTGCTGGAATTCATGAGCAAGTTAGAAACAAGCCAGAGCCTTTCGTCGGATCTTACAAAACTTCCAGAAACTCCACTTTTCCAGTACGGAATTGATCCGTTCTTCATGATGATGTACTGGTTTTCTCTTTCATCCAGCTGAAATTTGAAGTCTCCTGGTGCTGGGTCAATGGAACTCTTCCAAGAAGTCAACATAAAGTTCTTGTCTATCTTCATTCCTGGAAGAAATGTGTCAGTTGGATAATCAAAGCTTTGCCACAATATTGCTGAACCATTTGCAGCTTCTTGGATCAAGACTAAGTTCCCGGAATCCATGAGCTTCAAAGAAAATGAAGATGATGTTGATTCTATCCTTGCGGACCAGTAAGATGTTCCATTTACATCCATCACCTGGAGGTTTCCGTCTTGTCCGAGGGAAAAAACTCCCCTGGAATTATCAAGTGGATTTTCACGGTTAGCAACCCACACAACAGTTTGAGGGTTGTATCTGTAATACCAGATGCCTAGGTATTTCTTGCCTTCATTTCTCCCACAAGGAGTAAAGAATCCAAGTTCAAATCTTTCTCCAGAAGAAACAAGAGTATCTCCCATTTCATCCCTGAGTGGAGTAGTGGGCAATGTCGTGTTATCCCTGGCCGAGCACATCCAAGAACTAAGAAAAAGAAAGAGTGTGAATGATGAGAAGATGCTAGACACCATGTTGGTTGCAGAAATCGTGATATGGGCTGTTTGAATTCTCGTTCTTTCTTTCACATCCATCATCAGAGAATGTCACTGCCCAACCTTGTATTACCAGTAGCATTATTACGTAGCTAACTGACTAGTCCTCTTTCTTTCTACCCCTTTCAGGGGTCCAAGCAACAGCAGATGGCTCAGTTACCACAAGTAAGTCTACTACTAACTAATCAACACGTTTTTAGCTTATTTTATCACTTTATGTTTGTTCCTTTTCACTAGAATATTCTACTGGTGGTGTTTTCCAATTAGACAGTGACGTTACCAGTTGACTGAACAGCAAGTTTCATGATGCATAGTGTCAATGTTAGGTCTGAACTAATGGCTGAAATGCAAATGTAGCAGATTTCCTCTTTGAACTATATGTTTTTATTGTATAATTTTCAGTGCGATAGCATGTAATGTTAGTTCAAGCTGATATCTAGCCGAGAACATTAATGCTAGTAAACTGGAAGGACCACAGAAACCACCTGGTTCTATATATTAGGCTGCAGATTTTGGCGTGTCTGAGGAAAAGAGGGATACAATTCAGTAATCTGAACAGTACAGATTACCAGATGAAGTCATGGTCTTCCATTTTTTTCTCTTTCACCTTTTATTATTGGTCCATGAAACTGGTATGTAGTTTCGTTTGTTTTTATTCTTAGCAGAAATAATAATCTAGGTTTGTTTAATGAAAAGTTATTTTCTAATTTTTTTTTGTTTATTATTAGAAAAATTTATCAATAAAAAATATTTTTCAATCAATAAAAAATTTAGTTTAGTTTTCAAAAAAATTAAAAGTATTTTTTTAGATGAAATATTACACTTTCTAAAAGTTATAAAAAATAAAAAAATATCCTATTATTTATTTATTATATAAAATTTTGTTATTAATTTAGTTCCTTAGAATTTAATTTGATTTTTATATCAACTTTGATTATATTTTTATTTTTGTTATTTATTTTTCTCTTATCATTTTCTTAATTGAAATTTTTTTTATTCATTAAATTTAGTCTCTATTCTTTTTATTTATATTTATTTTATTTTAAATGATCTTTGACATTAATTTTTTTTAATTTCATCAGTTATCAACTTTTTATTTGTCATATTTAGTTTCTATTATTTTAATTGTTATTTGTTTTATTTAAAATAATTTATAAAATTTAAATATTTTTTCAATTTCATCATCTTTCAATCTTTCGATCCATTAAATTTGGTCTCTATATTTTTAATAAACTTGAAAAAAATTAAATATTAATAAATTATTTTTCCACTTATTTTTCATAGTGTAGTCAAATACTAGAAAGTGTTTTCAATTTATTTTTTTATAATATTACTAAACATCAGAAAAAAAAATATGTTTTTTTTTAAATTTAATTTTCATGAAAACTACTTTTCAAAAAAAAACTATTTTCTAGCCAATAAACAACATTTGCCTAGTAAAATAATAAGTTCCAATTCTACTTCAATGATAATTTGGTGAGATGGAAAATTAGAAGATCTTTAAAATGGAAAAGAGAAAGAGCTCATCTTAAAATGCCTAAATAGCTGTATATTTGTGTTGTTTATGATGCGATAATGATCGATATTTTCCATCACAAACAAAAGTTGTGGCATCCAAAAAAAACATAAAAAAATATATGGTATAAAACAGATTATTGCAATTATAATAGCCCCAAAATGATAATGATGTTCAGGAGACTTTTTTACTATATAAAGAGATTTTTTTTAGTTTGAGACATTTTCGTCTTCTGTATTTTTTTCAATCCGTACTCAGATTAGTACACACTAGATTTACGGAATTGTGCTACATTGCGGGTAAGATTATTATTATTATTATTTAAAAAAAATATGATATTGAGATGCCACAAGCGAGTTCTAAAAAAGGAAAAAAATCTACAATTTAGATTGTACAGCCAACTAGATCAAATAAGTTTATTTGTATTTTAATTATATAATAAAAAATAATAATAGACAGTGACACCAAATGAATTAAATAAAAAAAATCATTATGATATATTGAAAAAAAACTATTTTTCAAAGAAAATATGATATAGCTTAGTTCTCAACTAACTAAATATAAAATAATTAAATTAAATTAAAAATAAAAATAACCAACCTAAGTTACCTCGAGTAAATTAAAAGGATCTCAAAATAAAAATTAAAAAAATAAAGATCAAAATTTCAATAAAAAATAAGTTAAAGAATAACTAATAATTTCAAGATCAAAATTTCAATAAAAAATAAGTTAGAGAATAACTAATAATTTTTTATTGAAGGGTAAAATTAAAAAGAAAAATTAATATAATAATAAGATATAAAAAGAATTAAAAGAATGAGGACCAAGTTGAAAAAAATAAAATATCATAAATTTGAATTCAATAAAGAAATTAAAAATAAATTAAAATTTTACAAAATAGCCAAGAATATAAATTAAAAATCAAAATAATAAATATCAAAGTTAAAATTTCAATAAATAAAAGGATAATTCTAAAATTTTAAATAATTAGTGTAAATTTCAAGTGGAAAAAAAAAAAAAAAACATTGTTGGCAATAAATCATCCCACCCCTGCTACTACACGCCGCCTCAACATAAAGAAGACGATGCGAAGATTACAATTACACAATGGAATGAATTTTTTGGCATGATCCCTCACATGATGTCCAAAGATAGCAATGTCTTTCCATTCTCTTTGTCTTGTTTGTTTACTCTAATTTTTATATTTGTTTTATTTTTAATTTTATATTCTTAAAACTTAATTGTTTTAAAGTAACCCAAATTTTATTTTATTTTACAAAACCAAGCATCATAAATTTCCCTCTACATTCCAAGATTTCCGTATCAGGGTGAGAAAAAAAAAACTATCAAGGAAAATACTAAATTAAGCAAATTTGAATGGATTAAATTGAAAAAAAAAATTGAGGGAGAATAGTCAATCATTTGAACACCACAACATTTTCCTAGTCACCGACAAAATTTAACATGCTTTTTATTGTTGTAATGATTATTTTTTACCATATTTTTTATTTAAAAATATATTAAAATAATATTTTTATTATTTTTAAGTATTATTTTTTATATCAATGATTGAAAAAATTTAAATAAAAAAATTATAATTTAATAAAACACAATTTTAAACACCTCTATCTGGCTTAAATTTTCTTTAAAGGTGGTACAGTTACAGTAGTGGGGTGGTAATGAAGATAGCAACAGTGAATATAATATCGCATGTAGTGATGATGATAAGATTTTGATGGTTAGGATTGATGGATAATTTTGTGTATAAATTATTATTTAAAAAATATTTAAAAAATATAAAAAATATTTTATCTTGTAAAATATTTTATTCAAAACAAATTCCTTCTTCAACTACCCATAAATAATTAAATTGTGCTGGCGACAGGCGAACGTGTTCTTTTCTTTTACAAGTCTTGGCTCTGCTTTCCCAAGCAAATTTTTTCTTTGGCAGCAAGGGCCCGTCAAGGCATTTTTCAACTTTATGCATTCATGCTTTCATGTCCACTCGTTCTGTAAGTATATCCTTCCATTTTGACAAAACCCACTATTTCCATCCTATATTTTCACCAACTTGTCAAAAGAGTCCCTCCATTATTAATTTTGTCAATTGAGCATATGTTTTTTCAATTTCAGTCAAATGAGTAAAATTTTCCGAAATTAAAGATTTAACTCTATCAATTGAGAATTCTTCTTCACAACCTTAGTCATTATCATCAACTTTTTTTTGTCATTCTTGAAATATCATCATTCATCTCATCCTTTCTATTGAGTAAAAGTTTTTTTTTTTCAATTGAGGTTACTTATACTCGATCTAATGAAAATTATAGATACTCAATTAACCAAATTGATAGCATAGGAGATTTTTTTTTTTTCTTAAAGGAGGCTTTAGCACTTTAGATTGAACGCTGTGAGTATCAAAATTGACAAGAACCTTTTAATTATAGTTATCACATCTGATGTGGGGTTGATCTGGTTAAGAGGTCGAATCAAAAGTTATACGGGTCAACCTAAGTCAACTTGAAAAAATTTAAAAAAAAATAAAAATTTCATATTTCATATAAAAAATTAAGAAACAATTCATGTGAATATACGCTATACATGTTGTAAATAATAAAGTTTAAAAGAATATATCAAAAAAATTTATCCCATATTAAAAAAATATAATTTTTTTCTTATAAATATAAAACATATTTAGTAAAGTGCTTTAAATCTCACATTGAAAAAATAACATTTTTTCTTGGAAACATAAAGTATTATACAAAATACTAAAAGGGGTCAGTGCTCCTGTTACTGTTTATCTAGACACAAAGCACTATGGATTGAAATAGTGTAATGGTAGACTAGCCCTTGCTATAGAGAGTTGTAAGGGCATCGGGAGAGGGGTGGATTGTCTTTTTGCTGGGATGCATTTAGTATTGAAAGATTGATTAGAGAGAAAATTATTAGTTTAACTTTTGGTGGGGCTATAGGCCTTGGGATACGGACACTCGACGTTTTAGCTGCCCTGCTTGTGCGCTAGGTCAGATCCGTGCACCCACGTGGTGTTAGAGCTGGCTTGCCTTATGCCCAAGGCTAATGGATCCTATATTAGGACCCAATTTTCTAGTGTCTTTTGTCAAGACCGAAGACTATTAGGTCTTATAAGTTTCTAAATATTATTATTTTAATTATAAATACTATAATTTTTATTATTGTTGAAAGTATTAATATCAAATATATTATAATTTGTGGTATAAATATTATTATTTTAATTATAATAAAAATAATAATATTTATACCACAAATAATACTATTTTTAATATTAATATTTTCAATAATAATAAAAATAATAATCTATATACCACAAATAATACTATTTTTAGTAGTAATGCTTTCAGTGATAATAAAAATAATAATATCTGTAACATAAATAATAATATTTTTAATAATAATACTTTGAACTATAGTAAAAATAAATATTAAACTTTTAATCATAATAAAAATAAAAATATTTGTACAGCAGATAATAATATTTACACCATAAATATTAATATTTTTAATATAGAGATATTAATATTTATAATACAAATAATAATATTTTTAATATGCATGCCTTCAATTATAATAAAAATAATAATATTTATGGCACAAATAATAATA